AAAAATCAGGTCTCTGTGTGTTCTGTATTGCCAGTGACTGGATTCTCAAACAAGTTGTGGAGGGTATCAGCCACTCTAATACACTAACTTTGAAGTCATTCCTCTAGGTTAATATTTTATTCAAGTCAAGTAATTAAATTAGGCATGTCTCTTCAGTTGGCTCAGCGTAATCCAGCAGGTAATGTTTTACACATTCTTCAAGGAGCCACTTTCAGGCCCTCCCCTCTCATGTGCAAGTAACATTAGCCCTTCATTTTTCTCTCATGCTAAAGACCCTAAGGGAGAAAGCTGTTTGGAAGCGGTAACTTGAGACAATGCCGTGTATGTAGCTGGGAAAACTAATTATTCTTTCCACCACTCTCATCCCCAAATACCACTGCACTGTCAATGGGTTCAGAGTGGAAACAGAAGATTTTGTTTCCAAGGAAGTTTGGCTGACAGCTCCTCTCAGCTCTGTCATGGCTTGTGTTGGCCCAATGAACTTCTGTATTCCTGACTGAATTCTCCATAACCATGCACCCATGTGAACTGGGCAGTTGACTGTTGGGTGACTGTTATGTTTAGTTAGAAGATCTGTGCAGCTGAATAAAACAATCACTGGGGAAAACTGAGAGGCTGAAATCTTTGGAATGCAAATTAAACAGTGGGTCAGATTGGATTTCACCTGCCATTTTTAGATCCTTCCAAGGAAGTTCTTTCCTGCTTATCTGATCCTGAAATCATCTATCAGGAAGTGCAAAATGCTGAAAATTATAAACTTGTGCATTTGTCAAGGGCTGGAATGCTTCCAGTACTGGGATATCTGGACATGCCAAAACCACCTTGCCTGTCTTTTCAGAGAAACTTGTGAACGTTGTCAGTATTGTTACTATTTTAACTTATGCATCGGTCCATCACAAAGCACCAAAGCTGCTCCTCTGCACGGTCAAGATTCTGTGGAAACACGAAGGAAGAAAGGGTGTTTTCCCCACACCTGCATGCTGTGGGGAGGAGGAAGCTCTCTGGGCCATTACTTCCCATTAGAGTAGGATGGATATTTTTCACCAAACAATGTTTCACCAGCAGATGCGGGTCAGATGAGCCTGAACAGTTTATTTGGAACATACTGGGTTTGACAAACTTTTGCTGAGGCAGAAACTCCAAGGACCCTGAACAGCTGCTCGCCAAAACCAACCTTCCAATATCAACGTAACCGACAGGACCATCCATTTCACTGAGCAGATACTGGGTCTGACTGTTTCCAGGGTGTGGGAAATGAATACTATTTCTGACCTGGAAATTTTCCTTTCTGGCCATCTCCACTACCCATGCTGGGAGAGAGGTTCATGCGGCCTAGAGTTACTGATTTTTTACTTAGAAAGTGATACGGGTTTTTGTAGAAAATATTTATTCAATAGGTTAGATCCAAATAGTTTTCTAAAAACCATTAATCCCTCTCCCCTGAAAGGAGGATTTAGTGATGTCTGCAGCCTATATTAAAAGAAAGCACCATGTACAACAAAGAACACTACGATTCCAGATCACACACATTTGGGAAGGTTTTTGAAGTAATCTGGATCTGTCCCACCGGCCAAAAGCAGTTCAGCACATTCATTCCTCAAGTACCTGAGGTTTCTACCCAAGCGTGTGATCCTGGCAGATGGGAGCTGGCATTTGGTTCCACTCCTGACCAAAATAGGTTGATCCTTTCTCTGAATGATGTATTGGCTTTCTCAAATACACACAGTAGTCATACACACAGTGCTGAAGAAATATGTCCTCGTTATAGAGGTTCAAGCTAAATACTATCCAGTGCCAAAGCTTCCATGCCAGAACAAGCTAATAGAGAAGTTAGCAAACAAAGAAAACCAAAAACTACAAGCTTCTCGGAAACCAATTATTCTTGAGTCTGGATTCACCTCAGGCCATAGGATAGCATTGGCTTAATTAGCACGGGCACTGATGTATAATCTCCTACTAATGGATGTTATGTAGACATCTACTGTCATCTTCAAATACCCATCTGTAGCGTTCAGCAGTGTTGATTATCAAATATTACAGATCTATCTCATCTGAAAGAGTTAGAAGGGGTCGAGGAGTCACTAAAATAGCTTGAGTCTTTTCTAGAGGGATGCATCCAAAAGGTAATGATGGTAAGCTGTATACCCTTCCCTACATCCCTCTGTTGTGGAGTCAGTTTTTTTCTCTCTTTATGCTTTCATTTTTTGGGTATTTGCTGCATGACAGTAGGTAAACTGTTCAGGTAAAACAGACTCAAGTGTCAGTAATATACCCCTGACAAACTGCTCTGCCTGTGGTTTACCACTACGACCAAGAAAACCCTGTGATTTGATAAGATCAGCTCATGAATGAAGAACAGCTTGTTGAAACTGAACCTGATGAGCAAGACACAGGTGATTCTGGTGGCCAATGGAAGTAGCCTCCTTTGGCTGAAAGTGCATATCCACAAGAGGTTAATTAAGTCCACAGCTGAACATTATTCCTGGATTCCTTTCAGAGCAGCACACACAAGCAACACTTTCTACCATTTCCAGTTTGTTAGGAGACTGTCTCATCCCAGCAAATGGTAATCTGGCTTTAGGTATTTATGCCTTCATCACTTCTTAGAGCAATTACTGGAATGCAATATACCCAAGCCTGCCTAATTTTGGAAATTTCAGCAGGTTCAAAATTCTGCAGTGTCTCTTGCTAGCTGCACAGGCAGTCAAAAATACATAAATGCTGTTATCTGCCCTACAGAAGATTGAATCAAGTTCAAGGTCTTAGTTTTTACTTCAAGATACTCAACAGCTGGGGTCCAACTATCTAAAGAAATGTCTATAGCTCTCATATAAAGAACCCAGTTAACAACTTTGCCCCTCTGGCATAATGAGATTTCCTTCAGTAACAGCCATGCTTGTCTGTGTAGAAGCCAGCTTTCTCAGGAACAAATCCAAGAGTGTGGAATACACTGCTAAAGAAATTAAGGAGGGTTACAAACTTCACCACCCCCTACAGCTAATGTCAGATGTAAGTCTTTGACCTTGCCTTTTTTAACATGAACATAGAGCAATGTGTGTGTGTATGTGTGTGCAAATAAGAACAATCTAAAACATACATTCGACTACGTACACATTTCCCCAGGGGGAGAGGAGAAAATAGACCCATGACAGAAGGTAGGGTCATTAACACCTATTGAATGAGGAGTTTAGAACCAAGGAGGTAGACTATAACAAGCGATATAGTCATTGACTTCTTCACTGGTGCCTGAATACAAATGCTTCTGCTACTGCCAGGAAGTTGTATTTAAACTTCGAGTAGACCAGGAATCCAAGAGGGTGAAACTATACAACTGCTCTTGGATTTGCTCCTGTAAATGCCATGTAAGTTTCACTGATGTGAAGTCTGTCTACCTTACTTTTCCATTTCTTTGAAATAGTTATCTTAACACCCTGTGTGCCTTTAAAGTATTGTCCATACTTGTCTCTTTTGGTAGTAGTCTGTATTCTGTCCTACATGTTTTTAATTATGTATTGGAAACTCTGTCAAGATATTGCTAATTTTTATAATCTATCATCAAGACTTCTCCTTTTTTGATAATATGCCTTTACACTCCATCTCTGTTCTGGTGAGAGAGGCTACAAACTTTTGAATGCTAATATTTCTGCTGCCAAATGCTAAAGATAAGTATGGTTCAAGGAAACTTATTTGATAATGGTTTTCAAAATTCTTAAGATTTTCTGGTAGCATCATCTCATGGAGAATGTTTAGTATCAACTCTGGTGATGAGCAAATTCTAATGTGAAAGTGTGAAAATACAAAGAGAAACTATAGGTGAACTAAGAAAAACAGTCATGAGTTCATGTTCTATCTCCCATATGCATCGGTTGATTAATTATTGTTCGCAGTTCATTCAGGCATGCAGAATTTTGAGACCACCGCTGGGGGGCAGAAAGCCTGACAATAAGAAGCATTTCCTGGGCACTTTTTTAAATCTGTGACACAAAGGCTGTGGGACTTAAACAATGCAGTAAAGCTCAAAATGTAAACCCAGGACAAATAGCACCATGGCAGCTATGAGTGTCAAGCAGGTTGTGCATTTGAAAGCATGAGGACTAATGTGCAGGAAAAAACAGGTTTTGCAAACCTCAGAAAACTGCCTCCAGATTGTGCAAGGGTAAAAATAACACTACCAAAGCAGGGGCTACATATCTTCTAGGGACTGCATTATGTGTTGGCAGTTTTCTAATCAGTACAGTTTGACTTGCTGTGGTAAACCTACAGAAGGGTCCATGGCCTAATACAGTCAAGGTTTTTCACAGTTTAGACTTCTCATAGTAAGGAAATATCTAAACTCTACCGGCCCCTAGACTTCACATGTTCTGTTAGATAAATACGCATTTTGGAGGTTGTGGCTACAGAATCCCAATATCTCAGTAAACTTTTATAAACATGACTGGGCAAAACTCAATAATGCATTTATCTCCTCCTGAAGTGGAACCAGTCTAACAAGACTTGATATAGTCCAGATTTCCAAATCTGTCCACTGATTTTTGGAACCATAATGTTTTGGTTCCTCAAGTTGAGATACCTATAGGTTGATTTTCAGAGATACTAGGCACCAAAAAATCTATTTCAGGTCATGGGAGTTATAAATAAATGCTCAGCAGTGCTGAATATTGGTCTCCATTAAGATGTTTCAACTTAACCACAAATGGAGACACTCAAAATTTCATGAACACTTTTGAAAATAGGGGGAATAATCTACTGACATCTTCAAAGTAGATGAGAAATTCTTCACAGCAACTAACAGACTCTGCTATAGAGAAACCGCTAATATTTCTCATGATCCAGAATAGTTTAGGTGGGCTACACACTGTAGTACAGGAAAATATTATTTTCATGGTCTTTACAATATCCAAAACAGATAATCACCATTGCTTGCTGTGCCTCAACCAATCATACCATGTACTGCATAACCACCAGTACTCTAGTGTTTCTAAACATTTAAACTATTGCAGGTCATCCAGATGCCAAGAAGACCAGTGATGATTAGTCACTCTAATCGTCAGGAATGGAGGACGAACACAACATACAGTCAGGCAACTAGCAGAGTGGTTCAGCAACTGAATGGTACCCATCCACCAAGAATTCTGACCAGAATGGGTCCATCAAGCTTTCAAGGCCTGGCCAGCACATACCCCAAGGACAACACAGAATGAGCCAAGCTTCAGGGATGGTAAGAGTCAGAAAAGTGATTTTGTAAAATGCTATCTCCTTTCTCAGCATGTATTTATTCCAGATCACCAGGTGTATCTCCCAGTCTTATTTGGCTAGGTGGAGAAACCGGGGTTTATCACGGTTAGCCATGCAGTACAAGTGCAGCTATGGACAACTGACCTGGGCTCTATTCGCTCTCATCAAACAACAAAATTGTCAGTTGAAATGTGGCTGTAGAAACATTCTGAATGGTGACCGACCACACCTTGATTTGCCGACTGTAGGGTGAGATCTGCAGCTTTAGCAGATAGAAAAATCACCTTTTGATTTGCAAACTGAACTAATTTGATCCATAGCAACAAGAAGAATATATAGTCTCTGAAAGTTGTTTCAGAGGGTCAGTTTTCTTCCTATAGCTCCACTCAAACACCATCACATGATTTGGTGGGGGGAGGTATCAGATTTTCAAGCTAGAGGCCTGAAAGTCCAAAATACATTGGGTGCATTTACCCACACAAATAGGCATCGCCTAGCTCTCTGAAATGTTTTTAAAATATATTTCAGCTCAGCATCTACAATAATACTGGTATCCATTTTGACAGTCACACTGCTAATTTGCCCTTGCAAAAGCAGCAATGGAGTGTGTAATTCGGGTTTAATGCATACACAGCTGAACACTGAGCAGTTAGCACTTAATGTCTGATAGATTTTTGTGCTAGAGGCAGAAGGTTACATTATTTTAAACATACATTTGCTCCAGATGACTATCCTGAGGCACTTCTGTTAGGAGTTCAGTAGACAGATAAAATCTTTTCTCTGTTCAAACATTTGTATACATACTTAGTTCTGTTCGTTTGTTTCCAGGATACAGTTCATTATGCTGAGGAGAAAGAAGGGGTTCAGTGTGATATACTTCCTTATTATGACTGAAAGTTTTTTTCCAGATTCCCTGGGGAATAATTTTGTTGCTTTAATAACCAAATTGTGGAAATTAACACACATGGATTTGCATATGTGGAAAATGTGAACATATTGCTTTGGTGATACACTGATGTAGCTATGACTTGCACAACTCCAGTCCTCTCCTTTTTTGTATCCTTATAACAAGGTAGTTAGCAGAATTCATAGATTTATTGGAATCTGACAGGGCAGTACCATGAGTGCTTCTGCTGTGGCCTTGAACTTGTGATCTCTGGGCTGTCAACATGAGTCTTACCACCCACACCACCCCAGCCCATGTAGGGCCCCACTACCAAGAATAAACACTTGCCGAATGTCATTACTCTCCTGGGATGATTTGTGTGGCTACAACAACTCCTTAAACAGTAAGGAACAGACATTACACAAAAAACACCTTAAGTGATCAGAAACTGGTTTAAACCTGTAACAGAACAGATGTTCAGTGCGCATAAACCAGTTTGAAAATGATTGAAACCAGTTTGAGATAAACTTTGTTGAATGTAGTATCAGATTGAACTGATTTGGGTCAAACCGGTTTATGCAATGCCTGGTCCCAGATCCCGTGCTGGTTTAAGTTAAACCAGACTCCCCCAGCATCCCAGCATGCTGTCTGGGCTGGGTAGGGCTCTCTGCTCCACAGCAGGGCTGGTCCCTTCCCGATGCTCCCTGGCTGGAGCTCAAGGCAGAGACTGCAGGCATCTGCCTGGTTTCCCCCTGTTCTCCCCGCCTTACACTGATGCCTCTCAGCATTAGCTAGCATACCACATGCTAGTTACAGTCCGTGCTGTTGGAGACCAGTTCTTTCCTTGGAAAGCTGTTTAAGAAGAGCTTGAACTAATGGAGAGAGTCTTTGTTTTCTGATGGTGGGATAAACACTGAGTTAGGGGTGATAAACACTGTGTTCTCAACTGTCTGCTGGGCTGCGGGGGTGGGGAGACCCCTCCCTAATTGGAGCATCCTGCTGGGGCCTGGTCATGCCTCCCTTCGGCTCAGGACTGTGGACAGGAAAGGAGGGCTGCTCTAGTGCCCCCTGGCTCTAGCCTGAGCCACTCCAGGTGTACGCCTGCATTTGTGGGATGTCTGTCCAGTTACAAACTGGTTTAGCCTAGCCAGGTTAGACTAACCTGCAAGATTGAATCAATTCAGGCTAAGGATTTTTGAATGTCTATCCCTAGCCTAATTGGTCCAATCTCACTCCCACTAACACTGACAACAAAATTCCTTATGACTTAAATGGGAACAAGATTGCTATTAAAATAGTAGGAAGTGACAGGAACCATCTTTATACCTGTCAGTGCTGAGCAGTCTTTGGGGCAAAATATATAAGCTGCAGTTTACTCTTTGGCAATGAGTGGCAAGTGAAGCATAATAGAAGTGTCTGTCTGTCTGTCTGTCTGTCTGTCTGTCTGTCTGGTGAGACCTCAGTCTATAAGAATCTGGCTGTGGTTATTAGGTTTGTACTGAGGGAATGTTCACCTTGTTTTAGGCCTGCAGGGAAGTAGATACTAGACCTACCCAGGAGAGTTTGTGGGGCGGGACTTTTACTCTCTGTTACATGTTTGAAGCGGGAAAGTTAGCACAGAAAACTCAGAGGTGGAGGAACATATTGTTAGAACTCCCTCTAGGCACATCTACACGTTTACTGCACAGTAACCTAAATTACTGAGCAGTAACCAAAAACTACTGTGCAGTATTGGCATGCTATATGTGCATGCCCATACTGCACAGTAATCATGGTGACTTAATGCCAACTTGGGCATTGATTAGTTACTGCTCAATAACATGTGTAGACGTTTTACTGCACAGTAACACTGTGTTTGTGGACTGACTTGGAACTAACTTTAGTCTCAAGTCAGTCCACACACAGCATTACTGTGCTTTAACTGCTGCACGTGTAGACGCTGGCCTAAAGATCACTTACTGTGCAGTAATTAACACAAATAGATCAGACCATCCTTTCTATGGGGAATTACCCAGTGAGAGGACTGTGACATTAAGTTAACAGAAAGTTTTCACAGGTTTCACTGTGGTTCAGACACATACCTTTCATCTGGTCCTTGAAGAAATTTCCTTCCCTTGTGTAATTTCCTTATGGAACGGGGAGGAGACAGGGCTTTTTCTGCCTACCTCCCCACTTCAGCACAGCTCAAAATGAATGGGAGTCTCTGTTTCCCCATCAGCAGATACTTAAGATCAGTGGAGGAGCTCTCCTTGCACTTATGGGGTACTGCCCTCTCTGTCCCTCCTCCAGGGCCATGGAACCAACAACTCCCTGTGAATTGCTGTCTCTGGAAGTCAGCCTTAAGGATGTGGGTCAGACATGGTGAGCACAAAAGCAGTAAAGTTAAATGCTGATTCCAGCAGTATTAACTTGTGCCATCTGTTTTTAGACTGCTTCAACATGCATGTGTGTATATATGTGCACATGCACATGCATATCTGCCTTATTCTCTTTAGCACTTTATCTCCCTCTTCTCTATAGTGCTTTATCTTCCTACTGCTTTTCAGTATCTGTTATCTCTTGTCAGTTTTCTGTAGCACAGAGTGGAGAGTACTATTAGGAAGAGTGCTGTGAATCACCCTTACGCTCTGTCTGTCATCTCTACATGAACAGCACATGTGGAGGCGAATATTTGTGGGTCACACAAATATACTTCTTTCCATACAATTGCATGATAAATACCTGATCTCTGCTGGCTACAGTAGTTCTTTTTCCTGCCATACATATGCCATATGTATATGATCATTTCATTACTTGAGATTTTTTTCTCCTGCTTGCCATGGACATCCCAGGCTAAGCTGATGCAGCTGACAGCCTTCCCTCATTCCAGCAGCATGATTCACCTTTTTTTTTTAACTCTCCCCTCTGTCTCATAGCCAGAAGAGTGAATGCTGATTATCCCAATATCTATTGGCAAATCCTGTCAATAGCTTCTAAACTGCTTGCTCATTTCCTGCCTAAGGGGCCTGATTCCCCACTGGTGTTTCTGCAGTTATGATTCCACCAAAAGCAACAAAGTTCTGCTGGTTTAGTGTTGGAGCACAGAGCCTGATACAAAGGTGTACTAGGGCCTGTGTTTTCAGGTATTTTTGATGCCCTTTGGGTAACCCAGGATAGAGGCAGGTATCTTGGAGTGTACAGTCACAAACTCCTCCAACACTGTTTCAGGCTGGACATAAGGAAAAACTTTTTTACTGTCTGAGCCCCCAAGGCCTGGAATAGACTGCCTCCAGAGATGGTGCAAGCACCTACTCTGGACTGTTTTAAGAAACATTTGGATGCCTATCTTGCTGGGATCCTTTGAACCTAGTTGACTTCCTGCCCTTGGGGCAGGGAGCTGGACTCAATGATCTTCTGAGGTCCCTTCCAGTCCTAATGTCTATAAAATCTATGAAATGAGGCAGAAGGGACAAATCAACTATTCTTCTGGCTTTAGTGGAGTAATTCTCCACCTCTACTCATGATGTGCCTGTAAAGGGGTCACTCCTTCTGAGGGACTGTGCAGTCTAGCTCTAAGCTTTGTTAACTTTCTTCCCGTTCTGTGCTGTTTCATACATTGGTTCTCATAAATGCATCAAGTTATTGTTTTTTTCTCTCCATTTATTTCTCGTATCCCTAGTTATGCTTTCCCAGGCCTCCCTCTTGCTTACCCTCTAGAAGTTTGTATTGAGTTTAAGCATGCATTTCATTTTGTGAAATACCTATCCAGGATGTGGATTCTCAACTAAGCACTGGGTCTGTTAAAAAAATTAACAGTTGAGAACAAGGTAGTAAAAATATACTACACTTTAAATATAATACACAGGCAGACAAGGTTATTTTGGGTAAATGTGATATCTTTTATTAGACCAATTAAATAGTTGAAAAAAATGTTCTTTGCAAAGTTTTCAGGCACAAACACCCTTCTTTAGGCATAGGGAAAGTCTGATGGTGTTTTGTGTAGTTCTCCCAAATGGACTAGAAGCCGATATGCAAAATGTAGGTGTGTAAAAATGCAAATGTGTGGCAGTGAGGATCAGAGGCAATGGGAGACAATATGTGTGAGACAAGTAGGTGGG